GCTGGGGAATTCTGGGAGTTGAAGTCCACCCATCTTAAAGTGGCTAAGGTTGAGAAACCCTCTCCTAGAGGGAAATTTCAGATCTCCTGCAACATTATTGTTATAAGTTGTCCTTTAAATACAGTTAAGTCTATTTGGCAGTTTGATTTAATTTTTTCAGTCCATTATATGCAGACATTTATTTCTCCTTCACTTTCTCAGCCTACTTATAAATGCTGGGCTACAAAACACTACACAATCATTTCATCTTGCATATCTTCGAAGATTCTTTTTAAGATGCTGAATGTTGTCTTTGTAACCTGCAGATATTCTACATCTCCCTCATCATGCTGCCCTTTGGTGTGGACACTTCCTTATTTTCTAATTCCTTATCCCTGGAGGAGCAGCTTTTCAACTACATTGATGAACATCAGGATGAATTTGTTCAGGTAGAAAAAACAGTGATTGTGAATTTTGCTAACAAAAGGCAACCCAAGTCTGTCTGCCTTAACTTGGAAAGCTTGCTGGCTTCTAGCAAGGATTACTGGCATGCCAATGCCTGCAGATTGCCAGTTTGAGCTACAGTGCAAAGTGTATTAAAGGCAACATTAATGCTGACTGGGAGATCAAATTCCTGATGTATCTTCTCCACAGTCTGGGTCAATAAAGGAATTTCTGCCTTAATGGTTTCATACTTTATCCATAAATTCATTTCTCGTTTAGTTGTTTGTTAGTTCATTCCACTTCCGGCTTGTTTTATAACATGAGCTTTCTTGGTGGTATACATACACATTTTATTTATTAGATTTATGTTCTGTGTTTTTTTCCATCGGTGACAGACATGCTAATTTCTCTTCCAGTTGCACCTCTACTATAACAACCTCATGAGGTTGGGTGAGAGACAATGAATAGTCCAAAGTCACCCAGTGAACTTCCATGGGTGAGGGTGGACTTATGGGTATCTCCCCATTCCTACTCCAGCCCCAGTACAGGTGCTGGAGTAGGAATGGGGAGATTCCCATAAGTGCTAAAAACATTAAGCAATTGTAAGAACAGCACATAATAAAACTCAGAGAAAACTAGAAGCAAAGGTAAAACACACACACAAAATCAAAGGAAAACCAGGAGCAGTATACAACAGGGTAGCTATGTAAAACCACTACAATACCTTGGAGAATCAAAAGGTCATTGCTTGACCTCAAGAGGGTTGATCAATAGGGTCTAGATGAGTTTCTCTGCAAAGGGCATTCCAAAGACAAAATGCCACATTGAAAAGTCCTCTCTTGTGGCTGCTTACCTTGCCTCATTTCACAACGCAAGCCTTAGATAGATAAATATGGGAGAAGATATTTTAGACTGAAATCAGCACTTTAAGCTGCATCACTGACGGGCAAGCAAAGTAATAGTAATAAGTAACAGTCCCACCACTGTCTCGTGTGCCTGTCTTGAGGACTTCAAGTTTAAGGACTTTCACAAACAACCCTCAGTGTAAGGCCCTATTAGCAATTCCAAATGAGCGCAAATAGCTAGCTGTTCAGGCAAAATCACAGTTTAGAAGCAGATTAGAAAAGGTGCTGTAGGCATGGAGGCAATTTGTGCTTTTATTGACAAAGCTGGGTTCAGTGGCATATCACAGTTGTCAATTTAATTCTTTTGATCACGCATGGGCAATTTGCAGCCTATGGGCCATTTGTTTTCCCGACAACCCACTAGAGTAAGTGGCTCTGAATAGGGGAGGGGATTGGAGAATTTTATGAGGTAGAATAAGGGTTTTAAGCTTTGCAAAGGGTACAATTAAACCTCTTAAAAACAAAACTGTCCTCCCACATTGAAACTTTAAGGAAAACTTCCCCAGAGCTCCCCAACCCTAGATGCAGAGCAAACAGACCTGGGCTGAAAAATCTAACTGCACCTACTCCAAGGATGTCATTATGTCCACTCCTCTGGCCCTCAGAGAGGAAACAAACACTAAGTGTTACCCACGGCCCAGGAAAAGACAATCAGGCTTACCTAGACAAATTAAGCCCTCTGGTCTGGACTGGGCCTTAGTTTATTGGCCCTCAGTCAATCCCCTAAAGCTGGGGACGACATTGAATGCCTCCCCAGCATTAGAAGAACCAGTCCAGATTATCAGAACGTGACCAGAGAAAACTGGAGGAGGAACCAGGTTTTGCTCAGAATCCTTAACACATCTTTTGTTATTAATATTAGGTTCTTCCCAGGCTCTCAGTAGACAACAAAACATTTCAGAGTTGTGAATAAAGAATCAGAACTGACTTGCTACTTTTATTTTGACCCTCCATAGTAAGATAATGGCACTTGCATTATTCATTGTGCTGATGGGCATTACTGCAATCCCAAGACAAAAGTTATCTCACAATGCAGAGTGAATGCAATTACCCACTCCAAACAAAATTTCAGGACAAGAAGATTGTGTGGGTGGACATTCTTATTGTTGCTGTTATTCCTCTCTGATTCTGATTCTTCTTTTTTTAAGGCAGATTGTATGGTGACAAGTCCCTTAGAAGTAATTAGAAGGAAATAGAATTTACAAAGATGGATTGCCTGTGCAAAACCTTGCCAAGTGCCGTCATTTTTAATGAGCTTTCCTGGGGAAACTTAATGTATTTCTAAGAGCTGTTGCAGCAGAATGGCTGCAACAGTATAATGAGAGCTATGAATCAGGAAAGCACTCTTCTGCTATGAACTGTAGGCAAGACACTGTCCCTCAACTCTTCTCCTTCTCAGTAGGGAGACTTAATGTACCTTTAGATAGGTTGAGATAAGCTATAATTTGTACAACAAAACAAGGCTTACATATATTACTGTGGTTACATTCTGGATATTAAAAAGCACAAAACTTGATGACGTACTAGAGTCTACAGTATGTTCTGCTTAACCTGTATGTAAGAAAATATACAAAGGCAAAATTGCATTAAGCCTACCACAATAAAGTGGTACCTCGGGATACGAACGCCTCTACTAACGAACTTTTCGGGTTACGACCAGCTCCGGCCGCAAAAATTTACCTCGATGTGTGAACTCCGCCTCGGGGTATGGTCATTTTTCCGCCCTGAGACGTGGTCCGCGGCCATTTCTCCGCCCCGGACATGTTGTCGGCGGCCTTTCTCCTGCTGCGCCGCGCGGTGCCTGGCCATTCTCCCGCAACGCGGCA